TGTATATGCATGTGTATGTATTTGTGTATGTAAAAGTGTATGGACATGCACATGGGTATGTATATATATATATATATGTATATGTATATATATAGATAGATATTTATTTCCGTGACTATGCATATAAGCGTGGCGTATATGTATACATATATATATGTGTACATATATATATAAATATATGTTATCCAGAGCTTGCTCCCTGTTGAGTCCGCCTGCAAGTTGCTCTGTCGCTTAGCCCTCTTTGGCCCAGTCTTTTCTCCCTGCGTGTGGGGGCATCTTTACGACTGGCTGCCGAAGATTCTCGATCTTTCATTCCAATCTGCGGTGTCGGCTGCCATCTGCGCGCGGCACGACGCGGCGGTCAACTTCTCCTGTCCCGCGCCGCCATCGGCGCACGTGGAGCTGCATTGCCCTGAGGTGCGCGTCCCGCCTGTCCACGTGGTGGGGCCCGCCCCGAACGACGACCTGCAGGAACTTGCGCAGAAGCAGTTGGCCTTGATCCACGCGCGTCGCCGTGGCGAGAGCAGGTGGCGTTCTCCTCCTCAAGTGCAATGTACCTGGGGCGGACCTCTGGCGCGAGAGGATTGCGCTGGCGGTTCGCCCCACCAACGCAGGCAATTATTTCATGCTCGCGCCCGACGGGGGTTCGCACGTCGAGGATTGCTCCCCCGCGTCGGCCGACGTCGAGAGAATCCGTGGGACGGCGGGCCTCGGCGACGCGCCTCATGGGCCCCATGGGGCCAACATCTACCGCCTCCGGGCCCCCCCAGCGATCGAGGAGCTGCGCCGGCACTTCATCGACGCAGCCTTGGTGCCGGGCCTTCCCGCCCCCGCGGATGGTCTTCGGGCGCGGCGCGTCGGGGGTGAAGATGTCGTTCCTCGTGCTGGACCTCCGCCGCCCCAGGGGCCCGCTAGCCCCCGGCGTCCTGGCCAGGGGGTCCAGGCCGCGGGCCTCGCCGCTCCTGCTAGCACCGCGTGCGGACCTGGTTTGGGTGGCGGCGGGGGGCGCGGGGGATCTGCCGGAGGGTGCCGAGATGGAGCTGCCGGCCGACGCCGTCTCATCAGGAGATCGTGCCACCGCGCCGTGGAAGGGCGGGTTCGTCTTCTTGAGGCAGCCCAGTCGCCCCGAGGTGCATCGTGCGACGACCTGAGGGTTCAGCTTGCGTTGTTCGACGCGGGCGGCTTTAGGCGCGTCGGTTTCGGAGAGGGCGTGCAGAGGCAGGATGACACCCCGCCCGCTGGCGGCCTCGACCTTCAGGGCCCGCGCACGGCAGCCTGGTTCTGCCGGCGCATCGCAGAAAACGGCCCTACCCCCCCAAGCGGCTCGCGAAGCTTGGCTTCGGCAGGCCAGGCTGCGTGAGGCGGATGGGGCCATCCACGAGCACTTCGTCCTTTCGCAGGTGCTCGCTGCCGCGGTCTGTCATGATCAACATGCCGTGCCAGCGCTGAAGTGCATGGAGCTAGTCATCAGGGGGCTCCAGCTCATCAAATCAGCCTGCGCTCAGTCGGCCTCCGCCCCCGACTTCTCGGGGACCGACCCTTTCAAGGGATGGGGGCCTGCCGCGGCCTCTGCTTCCGTGGCGCCCGAGCTGGCGGCGCATGTGGCCGCGAAGTTCAGGGGCGAAGCTGCCGCCCTCAAGGGGTCTCGGAAGGCTGCAGAGGAGCGGCGCACCGAGCAGGTCAAGGGGGGGGGCCGAGGTGGCAGAGGCCGAGGTGGAAAAGGAGGGCTCGCCCCAGCCGACGGGGAGGGGGGCGAATGACTCCGCCGCCTCGTGGCGCGCGGGCGTGGCCCGCCCGTGCTGCCTTATCCATGGGCACCGCCTGAGCAGATTTTCAAAGGTATGTAGGTGCTAGTCGCCAGCGTGACCTGTTTCCACTCCCAGCTGTTGATGTGGATGAGCGACCCGGCCCATGCCTGTCTTCGGCCGTGTTCAAGCGTGTGTCGAGGAGGCGTGCGAGACAGCTTTTCGCCAATGGGGTCATTTTCACGCTCAATGATTTGTCCTCCCCGGCCGCCGCCTCCCTCTCGACCGTCGGGCATGCGCCGCGAGGCCCATGGCCAAATTTTGTCCACGTTGGCGGCGAGGCCTTCTTGCCCATCTTTGTGCAAAGACCGTGGAGCCCTCAAGGCGCTTTGCGGAATGGAGTTCTCGTATGTTGGTGGGGGCTCCAGTTGCAGCGTGGAGCCGTATGATCGAGGCCTGGTCTCGATGCCAGCTGCGGTAGCTTCGCCTCCGTGGCTGACGGGTGTCATCGATGATTCTGGCAGAGGCGTCATCGACGGCTACGCCACCGCGATGCGCCGCTCGCCCTCTGAGATGGGGGCCATCATGGACCAGCAGGCATCTAGCCCTACATGGGCGTGATGCTCAAGCGGGATCGGTCACTGCGCTTCCAGTTCGCCCGGGGCCCGTTCGAGTCCAACCTCGTGGATCTCGGGGCGGGGGCGATTGAGACCGTGTGCCCCCTCTTCGTGCGCGGGGGATCTGGGAAGCAGCGGCTGGCGTGGGACTGCCGCGTGGCGAACGTGCGTTGGCGCAGTCCGCCCAAGATCCGCGTGGCGAGCGGCTCCGCGTTCGCCGGCCTCCAGATTCCCCCGGGGCTGCAGGGGCATGGCATGTGGGGTGCTGGCTCCGGCATCGCAGACCATTTCTTTTGGCTGGCTATGCCTGCCGAGCTACGCCCGCCCTTCGCGCTGCCGCTCGTGCCCGGCCCCCTCCTCCTGGAGCGGGGCGCGCCCGCCAGTTTGGGCGGGCCCTTGCGCGGGCTCTCGGCGGTGAGGCCTCGTCTTCGCTCAGTGCCTATGGGGTGGGCCTGGGCAATGTGGTTTGCTCGACGTGTTCACGTCCATCAGATCTGTCTCGCATCGCCTCGGGGGCCCTCGAGGCTCATGGAGGAGGGGGCCCTGTTCCCGAATGGCGTGCAGACCTCCCTGTGTTGAACGTGTATTGTGATAATTTGGTGGTTCTACCTGCATCCTCGACCTGGCCGTCTCTGCGCGCGATGCTGTCATCGCCCAGCTTGCCAAATCTGGCTTTCCCGTTCACGAGGTTTTTGGTCCAGTCCGACAAATTACCGCTCTGGGTTACTACATCGATTGGGACGCTTTGAAAGTTCCGGGTAGATCCGTTGCGCGGGAAAGGATTGCAGCTGCTGCCTGAGCCTTGTCCTGTCGGCCGCGGATCACGGGACTTGCGTTGAGTCGGTTCATTGGTCACTGTATTGTTGCCTTCCTGATCCTTCGGCCTGGGGTCTCGATATTTCGGCGTGTGTATGATTTCGCTGCCGAGTTGGGGGCCTCTCCTGGTCGTCTGCGGGGTGAAGCTGCTCAGGAGACCCGACAGGTATCCTACCTCATCCAGGTGGCGGCGTCGGATCTGCGTCTGGAGTGGTCCGAGAGAGTCATCGCCACCGATGCCTGCCTCTCGGGTAATGCTGTTGCGGCCTCGCGTTGGCCTCGGGGCATCATCGAGAGCTATGCGTCTGTCCGGGAGAAGTGGAGGCATCGCAGTCGATTACCTTCTGCCGTTGCTCCTCGCGCTGCTGCCCTGCCCGCCTTCGCCGACCCGTTCGCCGACGTTAGCGCCGTTGAGGCCATCGTTATGCCGAAGCCGATCTCGCCGTACGAGTCGACTCCCGATTTCGTCGAGGTCGATCCGGGTTACCTCCGGAAGGACGACTGGAAGCTGCAGTGTGCCGCGAGGTTTCGAGGACGTGACGAGCCTATTTCGGTTTTAGAAAGGGGTTGGTATGGCGTCGGGGATTCGGCGCACGATGAGGGCTATCTATGGCTTTAGAAAAAGGGCACCTCCTCCTAGGGGACGACATCCTGGGTACTGTCTTGGCCATGGAGAAGGAGCGTTCCTCATTTTTTGCTCTCAACAAGTCATGCCGCAAAACTGCAGCCTTTTCAGTGGCTTCAGGTTCATCTTACGTATATCGCTGGATTCCATCAGACAGTAATCATGCCGACGAAGGCTCCAGGCTCTGGGGGCCGCGACGGCGGGCTGCGCACTCAGCGTGCCCTGCGCCCGGCTCAGGAGCCGTCATCTCGCTCGCAGAGTGGCTGGGGCTGGACGAAGAGGACGATGCTCGCCTCTGGGGCCGCCACGAAAGAGGCCCGGGCGGCCCCCCGCGCATCCCTGGCGGGCTCCTCGAGGGCCAAGGCCGTGGCGGGGCAGGGCGCGTTTTTCGAGTCCAGCTCCGTGAGCGCCAAGACGTGCAAGGACTACGCACATCGCCGCGCCGACTTCGAGGAGTGGGTCGCAGCCGAGCGTCTTTCAGGCCAGCTGGAGAAGCAGCCTGACTCCGCCCTCGCGGACTTCATCAACCACCTGTGGACGTCGGGCCACGACGCCTCCGAGGGGGCGAAGGTGCTGGCGGGCATCATGTACTTCCACCCGGAGTGCTCCAAGGCTGGCACGCTGGCCCTCCCGAGGGCCCGCAAGGCTCTCAGGGGTTGGCGGAGGCTGGGGCCTGGGAGGACTCGCCCCCCCATCCCGCTGCATTTGCTGTCTCTCCTCTGGCTCGAGATGATCAGCGTGGGCCGCCCGATCATGGCGCTCGCGCTGGCCACGATGTGGGTCGCGTACCTTCGGCCAGGGGGGGCGATGAGGTTTAAGGAGAAGGCCCTCGTGGCGCCCCCTCTCACTTCGGCCGTCGTCATGTGGAGCCTACGCACGCGCGAGGAGATGGGCCAGCACCCCTTCAAGGTCAACCTCTTCGAGGAGAGCCTGGTGCTGGACTCGCTCGACCTGCCGTGGCTGGGAGGTCTCCTCGCGGGCCCCCGCAGGGGCCAGCCAGACAGGCTCTTCTTCGATTTCAAACACTTCCTCGGCCCGACCATGTCGGCGGCCGCCGAGGAGGCAGGCCTCGACAAGCTCAAGATCTCACCTTGCCACGTGAGGCATTCGGGCCCCAGCCGCGACATCCTGCGCAAGAGGAGGTCGCTCGCATGCGTCGAGGCAAGGGGCCGATGGATGTCCGATCGCACTGTTGAGGAAGTACGGGGCTCATGGGCGGCTGCTGCAGCAGCAGTCGAAGGTCACAGACGACGCGAACAAGAAGGGGGCCCTGGCTATGGACAAGTTGCAGGGCGCGTTCCACGCTTCCTGGTTCCCGTGGGCCGCCGTCTCGTCCAAGGGTGCAGGGCCGTCGAGGTCGTCTCCGGCTGCGGGCGCCTCTCGGAGGCTCTCGCCTGCAGCGGAGTCCCAGCAGTGGCCCGGGGCGTCAAGCCAGGCGAGGCGGCTGACTTTTTTGGGTACGGGTCACTCAGTAAAATAGAGAAGGGGATTTTGGATCGCTCCATCTATCTCGTCTGGTTTGGGTTGCCATGCCAGACGTGGTCTAGGGCCGAGCCCTGGGGTGGCAGAGGGCCAGGCCCACTCAGAGATGACGCTGAACATCTCTGTGGTCGATCCAATCTCTCGCCCAGCGACGGTAAGAAGGTACAACTACATAACAAGCTTTTGCGACAGACTGCTAGAATCTTTCAAGTGGCCGCATCCTGCGGATGCCCTTGTGCGCCGGAGAATCCAGCCGCCAGCCGAGCTTGGCTCGCAGACGAGGTCGAGACACTCGCGCTGCTGCCTAACGCTAACATGCAGGTAACGGACTCCTGCCAATTCGTGACGCGTTGGAAGAAGGCCACTGGGATCCTTTTTGTAAACTGGCCACCGCCGGCTCTCCCACGGTGTCGCCCCTCCAGAGGCGCGTGCTCCAGGTCCTGTCGCGCTCGCGCTATTCTGGCGGGCAAAGACGCCGAAGGTGTTTGGCGCGCGGCCAGGGCGCAGCCATGTCCTCTCGAGCTGTGCGCCCTGCTCGCCGACCTGGTGGCGCCTGCGCTTTGAAGCCCTTCGCTGCAGGCTGTGCCGCCACGCCCGTGCCCGTGTGCTCTTTCGCTCGTCATCGGCTGCGCTCTCATTCTGGATTTTTGGAGTGTAATGTTCTACAGGCTTGAGCTTGCCATGCATCGCCCAAGCCTGCAGAAGCACCTCGCAGTTACTGTGGCAACGGATGTAAAGAAGGCGTCGGTCTCATTTCCAGAGCTTGCTCCCTGTTGAGTCCGCCTGCAAGTTGCTATGTCGCTTAGCTCTTTTTGGCTCAGTCTCCCTCCCGTCCCTCCCGAGTGTAATGTTCTACAGGCTTGAGCTCGCCTGACTGTCACTTCTTTTCCATGTGCATCGCTCAAACCTGCAAAAGCACTTCGCAATGAATGTGGCAACGGATGTGAAACGGCATCGGTCTCAATCTCTATATATATATAAATACATTTGCACATACACACACATATATATACACATAGATGTATACACATACATATATATATATATTATATATATATATATATATATATATATATATATATATACACATGTATGTATGCATGTATGTATGATGTATAAATCCCCGGTCACGAGGCCCCGGGGCCGGAGGGGCGGGCCCTGGCATCGCGTGGGGGGCCGGGGCTTCCGAGACCGCCCCCAGAGCACCCCGGAACGGCCCTGGAACCCCCAGAGTGCCCCAGAGATTTCCTATGGGCTACGAGAAGCCCTGGGGCCATACCGACAGCCCTGTCCGAGACAGCCCAGATAACCCCAACGTTGCCCAAGATGGGCTCGCGACGGCAGATACACCGCCCAAGAGGCCTCCATGAAGCCTCAAGGGAGCTCCGAGAGGCGTCCTGGCAACCCGAAGAGGCCCAAATAATTGATTGTCATTTGTTTTTTAAATATATTTTTCGGTTTCTTGCGTTTTCGAGCATCAGCGCTCCAAGGCGGCCGATGATGCCGCCCCAGAACCGCCGAGACGGCTTCCAAACAAACTCCAAGACGGCCCCACGGAATTCGAAAATTGCCCACGAAGATCCCCGCACGGCCCAAGAGAACCCCAGGACAAACCCAAGCTGGGCAGAGCCCGAAGAGGCCAAAATCTTTGATGTTTCGTATTTTTTCAATGCTTCCCGCTTTCTCGCGTTTTCGAGCTTCCAACGGTCCATGACGGCCGAAGACGCCCTTATGACCGCCCCAAAAACGCCAAACAGCTTCCAAAAGAGCCCCAAGACGGCCCCAGACAGCTTGAAAACTGCCCAAAAGCAGCCCAATACTGCCCAAACCAATCCCGGGAGAAGCCCAACATGGGCCCCAAAGCGGGAGCGGGAGGCCCCTAGGCGCTCCAGGACGGCCCAGGTGATTTTAACGTGGCCCAAGATGAACTCAACACGGCAAAACACACAGCCCAAGAAACCTCCAACAGGCCCCAAGAGAGCTTCGAGAAACGTCCCGAGAGAGCCCGAAGAGGCCCAAATCCTTGATTGTCAGCTGTTTCTTAAATGTTTTCCGTTTTCTCGCGTTCTCGAGCTTCCAACGCCCCAAGACGGCCGAATACGCCCCCCCAAGCCGCCCCAAAACCGCCGAAGGGCCCCCAAAACAGCACCAAAACGGCCCGAAAGACCTTGACAATTGCTTGGCCCAGAAGGCCCCTTGGCGCTCGAAAGCGGCCCAGATGGCCCGGGCCTCCCCCCTTCGTCCCTCCTTCCCTCCCGACCCCTCCCGACCCCTCCCCTTGCCTCCATTCCCTTCTCTCTTTCCTCTTCCTCCCCTCACCCCTCAGCTTTCGTGCTCCTCCCTCTCCTGGGACGGCCCCGCCAGAGCGCCAAACAGGCCCCGCCAGAGCGAGCGGGGCTTCGCTAGACCCTATCATTTCACAAGTTGCTTCGCCCCTCCCACCCCCCAAGGGCGGCCCCGGCAGAGCGAGAGGGTGTTGCTATACCATATACATTCCCTGCTCTTTTTTGTTCTTCCCACCGCTCCCGAAGTAGCCCCGTCAGAGCGCACGGGGTGTGGATATACCATAATTTTTCACCGGTTTCGTGCTCCCCCCTCCCGTCATGGGCAACCCACGCCAGAGAGAGCAGGACATCCCTACACTATACAATTTCACGCGGTTCTTGTTCCTCCCTCTTGAGCAGGGCGGACCCGCCCGAGCGAGCGGGGTGTGGCTATACTATCATTGAGCATCCCCCGTGACCCCGAATCTTCTGATCCCACGAGCGCGATTATCGCCGTCATGAGGTTTGGCGCCCAGCACAGAGAAGCTCCCCCATCCCCGTGGACGGACTCGACAACAACTGATCCCAGACAACGTCGCGGATGACTGGGACATCTGCGCGCGCCCATTGCAGATACCCAGCAGCTGAACGACCGCTGAAAACGAGAAGCCTGGAACACAAGGATGAGGAAAACAAAGACAACGCGTTCCCACGCGCGCACACCAAGGCCCCGAACCAACCCCAACATCAGGAACCAACGGATGTCTTGCGCGATCGGGCATGGGGAGACCGAGCAGCTGTGCAAAAACATTGAGTGTCACGACGGGGCAGAGCGAAACTGAAACTGGAGAAACAACGCAGTTCGATAAACCAAAAAAAAAACGGCAGCGAGATTGTGCGATACGCGGGAACGTGGTGCCTTGCGTTATGAGTACGCGTTTCCTTGCGTCGATGGCGTGAGTCCGAGAACGCTGGAACTCGTCGTTGTGACCACAGCGGGCTTACAGCGGCTCCCGTGGCCCATCTGCGACTAGAACTTCAGCGCGCGCGTAGCGTTCGCGTGGTTCCAGTGTATGTATGTGTGTATGTGTGTATGTGTGTATGTATGTATGTATGTATGTATATATGTATGTATGTGTGTAATTGGATGTATACGTACACGTGCGTATATATGTTTTATATGTACACACGTGCGTGTCTACACATATGCTTAATTATATGCATATATGTTGTTTCGCCGTCTCGCATTATATATATGCACGTCCAGTGTGACAGATGTGGACATATATATATACATACACACACGCCTATCTATCTATCTATCTATATATATATATATTTGTATGTAGACATATATAATTATGAGTTTGAATATCTATATTCACGGAAATAAGGGTATACCAATGTATATATATGTGTATATATTTATATATGTGTTTATATGTATGTTTAAATGCGTATGTATAGGTATATGTATATGTCTATGTATATTCATAATTATATGTATACGTATATGTATATGTCTATGTATAGGTGTATGTATATGTGTATGTGTATGGGTATGGATATTCATAGGTATATGCATATGTTTGTGTATGTACATATAGATGTTTGTTTATATACATACCAATGCGTATATGAACATCGGAATCACACATACATATAGAGATATCGATAACGATATATATATATATATATATAGAGAGAGAGAGAGAGAGAGAGAGAGAGAGAGAGAGAAACAGAGAGAGAGAGCGATAGAGAGAGAGAGAGAGAGATAAAGAAACATATAGAGAACGACATATAGAAGATAGAGAGATATATAAAGAGAGAGAGAGAGAGAGAGATCGATACATATATATATATATATATATATATATATAGATTTACATCTATAAAGAAATAACGAGAGAGAGAGAGAGAGAGAGAGAGAGAGATAGAGAGAGAGAGAGAGAGCGAGAGACAGAGATATAACGAGAAAGAGAGAGAGAGAGGAATCTACATACATATATATATAGAGAGAGAGACAGAGAGAGATGCAGAGACAGAGAGAGATAGAAAAGAGAGAGAGAGAGATTGACATACGTATATATATGTATATATGTGCATATATATGTATATATATATAGAGAGAGAGAGAGAGAGAGAGAGAGAGAGAGAAGAGAGAGAGAGAGAGAGAGGGAGAGAGAGAGAGAGAAATAGAGAGAGAGAGAGAAGGGAGAGAGAAAGAGAGAACGAGAGAAAGAGAGAGAGAGAGAGAGAGAGAGAAAGGACCCCCTCCGTGGCCCGTCCAACAACCATCTTGAGAACTGTTTTTTTTGGGGGGGGGGTCGGGGGGGGAGCTTCCTTGCCTTCCCCGGAAAACCCTTGATGAAGGTATGTTGGAGGGTCCCCGGGGGGACATGTCTTATAGCCCCCCTCGAAGCTTTTTCCCCGCCCAATTGTCTTAAAATGGGGTTTTGGGTGGTTCTGGGGAGTTTCGGGGGGGAAGCCTTGTGATTCGCCTAAAAAAAACATGCCTTCAAGGGGGGGTCGAGGGTGGTCCGGCCCAAGGAACTTCCCTTGAAGGGGGTTTGGGGGGTATCAGGGGAAAAAACATTACCCATCTTTTATAGTTTTTGTCACAGGGGAGGTTTTCAAACTTATGCGTTTGGAAACTCGGCACTGGGTCCCCCCCGAATCCAACCAAAACCCCTCATGAAGGGTTTTTGTTTGAGGGGGTCGGCTTCTTTGGCGTTTGGTTTTGTTGGCGGTTTTCCAACGCATTGTCGTTTCTACTTGTGCGGAGGCCGTGCGCCCCCAAACAACTCCCCCTTTCCTCCGGGTCTGACCGCCCAAACCTCCCCGCCCCACCCCCACAGGAGGGATTAGTTTTTTATTTTCCAAGTGGGGTTCCCGAAATTTCCCTTTTTGGTCTCGGCACGGGGGAGGGTTAATCCCATCGCCACGCCCCCTTCCTGCGACGTCGCGCAGAGGACGCCACGGCGGCCGCCTTTTTGGGTGATCTCCACACTCGTAGTTCTCTCGCGGGGCCCAGACAACGCTGGGGTTTTAGACGTGCTCGCCGACCGAGTCTATCTGTGGTATCCCTCGTCTTTC